CAGAGTTGGATGGAGAAAACTGGTGGGCGCCCTATGCTCCATTGGGGGTAACAGGCGAAAGTAAGTAAGTAAGTAATAATCTGTTCAGCTTAATTTCATTCCACGCTACAATTGACCCTGGAAGATAACTGTTAATAGTTAGTGATTTAATTGCACTATAAATGGAATTTTACATACTGAAATGCATTTATATCAATACCCAAAGATAGTTAATTCGATGAATACGTAATATGAATGTTTCTAACAGAAGATTGAATTTAAGCTGAATAAGCTTTTATATTGCGTTTGTTTTTAGTTAACTATGATTTGTGACCAGTACACATAATCATCATTCAAACGTTAGGATCTGCACGTTCATAAAATAAATGTTTTTAATGTAATGCCAATAAAATAAACTATTAAATTGTCTACAATTGTTTATTAATTTTACTGACGGTTAAATTAAACTTTAGCGAACCCCGTGGATAATTCGTAGCTGTTTACGCAGCTTAGGTTAGTTTAATTTCAAGTTAAAAGTGATCAGGGAGTCAAAACTAAACAGATATTGTTTCGAGATATGTAAACGACAACAGTAATTTAATAACAGTTTCATAGTTGTAAACCATTAGAAATACATAAAATGTACATTTCTCAATAGCTTCTGTCAACTTTATAAGTAATTGAAGGCTATTAAATCAATAAAAGGTGGCTCTAAAGAGAGCCGTTACACCTTTATTTGATGATCCACAGTGAATCTGAGACATAAAAAAATGTTAATAAACGTATTGAAGTAATTAATTTCATTTAGTCCAGAATAATCGATAAACACTTTCTTACTATTCAACATCTCTCATGTGCATATCTTTTAAAAAGTGTTTGAACATACTGTTTAGCATTGTAAATAATTATTCATAAAATGATATTTCTTGCTTACTAGCCGCATAACGTTCTGTACAATATGAACTTGGCAGATCAAGTGGTTAGAATTCCGGATGTTTGTTTATAGAGCATGGCTAAAGAAGCTTCCGACTACGATAATAGACAACATACTACTATGAAAAATAGCTACAAACCTTTTAACAAGATCTGGTGTCTCTCCGGTTAAAAATCTTAAGATTACTGGCATAGCGCTGAATGACACATCAAATGCCGAAAGCTGGGAATTGCATTTCTCCTCCTTACAATTTTTAAATGTTGTCGATTCCGATGACCTCTGTGCAGCGGCAGACTACGTTCACCAGATCTCCACAGAAAATTCCACTGTAGCTGACTGTCTACGTCACGTCCTAGCACTGCCTTGCTCCCCAGCTGGGTGATTTGTGCTGCAATGTTTTCTAGACTACCAAATAAGTCAATATTGGGAAAAATCTGAAACTAACCTAGAGCTTTGAACTGCTTGAATATACGGTGTCGCATACTATAGACAATTTGCGCAATCATGTGCTACCTGCACGTTTTTTACACAAAGTCGAATACAACAAAAGCTGCAGCTCAAGGCAGCAGTATCGGTCAGATGCTTTTAATTTTATCTTTCGTCAGACGACTGAATTATGAACTCTGCTCATGAACAACGCGTAGTAAACCACGGTTGTGAATCAGTGACTAGTTGGTTACAGTCAGCAATCCATTTACCAAACGAGTATGGATGAAGGGTCGATATCTATGACCGATAGCCCCCCTAATTTATCATATACAGAATATTAAAAGAAATATATATACCTTCGTGTTGATGATGATGTCGTCTGCAGTTGACAATGCCTTTTCATTCTGCATATTAATTATGAAAATCGTCTTGTTTATGATGGCTATCCGAGATAATAAAGTGACAGAAAACGTGATTCTCCGTAAACTGTTGATAGTCTAGCTAACTCTTCTCCAGGTGGAAATTCAACATCAGCAAATATCTCTCAAAGCAGTATTATCAGCCGTGCTTTTCGACGCAGACATGTAAAAAGACATAACTACGATATTAACGTTTTTGAATGCTACCACTTTGAAGCGGACTAGTTGAAATTCATTAGAAAACAGGTTCTCAACTGGACAATTAAAAATCCCATAGGTCAGAGAGACAAGGGAGAGATGGAACGAAATTCATTAATATAGAATTAAAAGTACATTGATTGCTATAGATTCAGTTTGATTTTGAGAAAACAATAACTAAATCAAATTAAGTACTGATTAATGATTGACCTTTCGTTCGATATCACACTATTCATGTCATCAAATTTAGTAATAAACTAAGAGTCCTACCCAACACATATTTCAGTAGCATTAACAGGAAAATATTTTATTTTCGTTAGCCGCTTATAACTAGGAATTTTTTTGAACACTATAACTACAAAATAAGTTGAAAATACTTCAACAAATGACTTTAATTGAAGATTGCTTTGAACATGCAACAATAAAGATAAAAGTAAATTTAAGACTAAATAAAAGAACGCTGAAGGCTGGACATTAAATTAACTAGTACACTGCAGCTAAACTACTAATATTGTATAAAATAATATGTTGATTATGTCAGTCAAAAGTCTGCTTGTACTGTGTTTCAAACTATCACCAAATCTATCCATTAGATATACATATACCTGTCAAAAATACTTACATTATTCGTACGGTAAGAAAAACCTATCCCAAATGTCAAAAGGAAGAAATACCTTGCGTAATACAATCTCTAAATTGTTCTTTGACGAAGGAAATCAGGTCGATACTATGAAATATTCTAGCATAGTCAACAATTAGTGAAACTGTGATTTCCTGAAGTTTACTGAAGTTGTTACCATCAAGCGTCAGAGACAAGGATTTTTATCCCAAAAAGGAAACATTTATTAAGCTTTTTCTGCTTCAGTGACATAAATGTTTCTTTCATTGGATCATAAAATCCTTCTCAACTCTTTATCTCAATTGATTACGTCATCAGTGTTCACTCTGGGATACCATCCCAGCACTTTTCCGTGTAGAAATGAATACCATTGCTAAACACATTCCAGCCTTTCTATGAAATTACTAGTGACATAATAGCCATTTCAATGTATTCCGCACTAAGAATAATCGAATTTCAACCCGAGTTTAAACATGATATTTCAAACCATCAAACGATGTGAATAGATGGCATTATGCTCACTCTGTCTTCGTTCTGACATTCATTCACCAAACTGAATAAAAAATATAATTTGAAGAAAGTTAACAATATCATCATCAACTTTTCCAAGTACTAGATTAAATAAGGTTAATAGTGAATAGTTTTTTCTCCATCTACGTAGATTTAATGCTAAGTGATTTTCTGTATTTGCTTGATAATTTTTCATAACTCACAATAACTAGTCCGATATCATTTGCCACCAGACTCAACTCCTAATGAATTAGTTTGAAATTGTAGAAAGTGACATAAACTCAGTAAGAGGTCGCATCTGCAAAGTAAACAATAGGAATAACTTTTTACTACAGACGTAATCCTCGAATTTCGTGCATAAAATATTAGTTGTAAAAGCTATTTGAAATTTTACATTTGTTCATGTTATGAATCATTTACAGAGTACTAGTCGTGTCAAAATGTGTATTCTAGTATTGGTAAGATATTATAATACCTCTCAGGTTAATATTCAGGGCATTGATCGATCACTTTCAGTTGTCATCCTGGCATTATGAACGGATTGTATCGGTATAATTTGTAGACACAGGAGATCAATATATTTTGCGTGTAACTAACAATGGATGGCATCTTGCTGTTTGAATTGAAAAGTACTAGGGTAGAGTGTTAAATTCGAACGAAAGCGAGTCATCAACTCTATAATTAACCTAAATTCAAATAAACTAAAAATGTGTTAATATTATGCAGCAGTGTAAAGTTGATTTTTTTTTTCACTTTTCGAATATGTGTATGGAATACTATTAAAGTTTGAATGTGAACACTAATGCAAGCCTATTTATTATTTAATAAAAATACTTAATCTTTCGTTGTCAAATGATTATTAAGATAATAATCCATCAAAAATAAAGTTCATTAATTTACAAAATTGTTAATTATTAGTGATTTCTACTATTGAACGGATGATTTATTTTAAAACTTAGTTAAAAGTGATGAATGTCGTGATATGATTAAGTAAGTTTATGAGCGGTATGTGCTATTTTATTGTCAAAGATAACTTTTATATAAAAGATTATGCAAAACAGACATAAATAGTCTATTTTCTGTCAGTCATGTCAAAACACGAAACATTAATTACATAAGTCATTTAGTTTAATAAATATCATTCTTCAAACTATTGAAAGATCTTGATCACTAGTGAATGCTTTCCAGTGAACCATTAGCGATCATACTGTCTTAACAAACAACAACTAATTAGGCTCAATAGATAATATTAATTGCACAATTTCAACAAAACAGATGGAAGAATTTTTAATGTTTAGCTTCATAAAAGTTTACTGTGCAGAAAATAATGTGACCACATAATAAATTCGTCAGTATAATTGTGGTAAGCAATTATTAATAATTAAAAAGAAGAGACGTTTGTCGATAAGCATAATGAACCACTTGTTTGTATAGCATTACTTATATCTAAATGAGTATCAATTAAGTGTACCGCTTAAGAAGGATCAACTGCTGATACATGAAATATAACACTCGAGTAGATTTGTTATTTCATCTCCGTTCTACAAATTAATTTGTTTTAATAAAGAAAACAACTAATCTCAATTAAAAATGCAAGCTGAATTCACTACTTTCTTTAAATAAATTGATATGATAAATAATTGGATAAAATTGTTAACCAATCAGGATTGGACGAATGATGTTCCGTGTGAATAGGTTAGATGTCAACGAATCGTTTTCATTGTGAATACGTGACTACTTTGACTGCCCACATTACAAGTGATATTCACGGTTATAATAAATCAGTACATCATGAAATAAGTATCTAATCGAACTTTGAAAAGATTTTCTGTTAAATGTTATTCCTCTTATCTAATTAAGTGACAATTATAATAGTTGTGTCATGAATGCAAAACAATCAATCTTGAACATTATGCAACATTGTGTCCCTGCACGTATTCAATGTTATCTTTGTGATTTACCACGTTATCCTTGGGCAATGTTATCGGAATTCAGTGAACCAGTATGTCGTGGATGTGTAAATTATGAAGGAGCTGATAGAATAGAATGTGTAATCAGTCGAGCTAAACTAATGAAAATGCATTATCTACCACATGTTTATTCTCAAAGAAATGTAAATGAGAAATTAGACGAATCCCAATCGAATGTACCAATAACAACATTGTTAACAACGGATGAACGTAATACGTCTGTAAGTGATGTAAATATAGAGCCGAGAAAATCGCCATTGGATTTAAATAAAGTCTTCCAATTTAAAACACAAATAGGTAAAAACTCTGAAATGAATCAATTTCATGATACACAATATTTACATAATCTCAATCAGATTAATGATGAAACTTATAAAGATTTAAACAGTTTAATGGAAAACAATATGCTACAAAGTGAACCAGCAATAGTAGTAACTTCTTCAACATCATCTATAACTTCCAATAATGCACACTATTTACAACGAGATCGACCGAATAAGCATCAAAGTAATCTTTCAAATTATGATACTCGTTTAAAGGATATTTTTGTGAATATTTTAAAATGTTCAACATCTCCATCATTAACACATTCGAATTCATCACTGTTTACTAATACGAGGAGTACAAAACCACTACATTTTACTGATCATCATTCAGAGAATTCGAATTCCGTAGATGATAATTTAATAAGAAATCAGATGAAATTTAATCATAATGGGAAAGGAGTGATTGTATCACCACATGATGATGTGTTGAATAACATGATAAACTCTTCATTATTAACTGCAAATGAAACAGGTGCGACATCAAATCCCAATGAAGTGACATCGTTAAATGCTGTTAAATTAACTAATAACTTTATATCTGATGCCTTTATGGATTCGTCAAGTACAGAACAAAAACATGAATTAATTTCAGAGTCTACAACACAACAGTCAATTTGGAATCCTCGTCTTTTAACATTTTATTTACAGATAATTGGCAACCTCTTAGAATCAAATTCCATGCTTACCGGTGAAGATAACCAGACGTCATTATCTAACATTTTAAGCAAACTGAATGACCAGAATAAGGTTCACCCGGCCAGTATTCATGATTCATCAGGACAAATAACAAATCCATCATTTAATCATATGTTATTGAATGAAAGCATTCAAAGTGGGAAATTATCTAAATTAAATTTAAATCCAACCACTTCTCATTTGTCAATTGCCCAAAATTTAAAATTACCCATTTTAATACGACTACGTACTCAACCAGCTAAACAAGCCCATTTCTTAGGACTTAGCCAAACTTCAATTATAAGTGGTAATTTTAATTTACAACAAAATAATCTGATCAATATGATGGTTTTTCAATATCCTATCGGTTCATCGAATATATGCATTGGTTTCAATCAATTTATCAAATTGATCGATACTAGACTTGTACAAGAGAACAGCAGTATTACTGATGATATTGGAGACATACATTTAGGAGTTGATCAGTTCGAGTATGAAATTGCTAGGGATGGCATGAATCAAGTTATATGGGCACCATTTATTGATTTACTGTTAATAATACTTCAGTTGGTTTATCAACCGTTTATACACAAACAAACAAGTACCATAACACAGCTGTTATCAAGAGATTTATTAAAACAAATCAATATGACCAGTGATACAGCAGAGGATGAGATAAATTCATCAAGGAAAAGAAAATCCTATTGTGATAACTCGGATGATATTGTAAATAGTCAATTATGTGACAAACAACCACGATATGGAAATGCTCATGTTTCCACTTATCCTGAATTGAATGGAATCAAAGTTCACTGCACTAATGATAATATCAATACTCAGGTGGAAAAATTAAATGATTCTTGTAAAAAATGGAAACCATTATTACAACATAGGAAATCACCAAGTAAACGAATTCTATGTAATTTATGTCCACGTCATTTAGAAGGTAGTCATTTCGTTCAATGTCCTGCTAATCTGGAGCATAGATTTTGTTTTCAGTGTGCTAAAACTTATTTAGAAAGTATGATGCATGAACATCAGGCTAATAGTAATGTAGCTAACAGAAGTATTCACAGTAACAATGCGAAAAATTTAGAAATTTATTGCCCTAGTGGGAAAAAATGTGTTCTTCCGGGTTCTAAATATCCATGGGCGTTTGTTACTTCAGAGATAGAAGCCATTTTAGGCAAAAAACAAATCACTGCTGATCATTCATCTCGTTATGATCAAACATCATCGTTTGAAAACAGTAGTGTTCCAGAAAAAATTTCAACGAATTCTCTATTAAATGATAAACTTAATACAAATTGTAATACTATTGCAATAAGTAATTGTCGATTGGATAATAACACGAACAGTTGTAAATCCCAATGTTCACTTAATAGTCAACAAGATAATTCTGACATTTTGTCTCCTCATAGTATAAACTCCAAAACCTCACCAGAATCTCCGACAAAGCTATCATCAGATGAAATACATGGATTATCCGGGAATAAATCAATAAATGGAGTTCATGCACAACTGAATTATAGCGACGTCAATAATAACCAGTCAAAATTAATGAAATTGTCAAAAGATAATCACAGTATATGTGGAAATTTGCGCAGTCAAAAGCATTTGAATTTCCCCCCACCTTCTACGTCTACATCATCTTCATCATCATCATCATCACCTCCGCCACCTCCACCAGTACTGACAGCAACACCGACACCACTGACAACAACAACAACAACTTCTACAAATTTATTCTCAACACTGTTATCGTCATCATCATCATCATCATCATCATCATCATCTTCATCATCATTAATCATTAAATCAAATGAAGCCAAGAATAAAACTTCACTGAATACAATAATAACAACAATAACATCAATGGGAAAGTTGACAAACAGTAACGTTGAAATATCACCTACTGAAATCAATAATATTTCAGATGATAATGATTGAACTATTTCTGATTTTCGCATCATAACTGTCACATCTTATCATCCCATTCGAAAACTGATGAAGCAGGAACAAAATCTACAGTAACAAGTGTTAGACAAACGGCCATTTTGTTTTCAAGTATTCTAATTGTACAAAGTTCAATTACTGATATCCTCGTCACTTATTCAGCTTTTGTCTTTTCTTTGGTATTCTCTTTTCAAGTATAACACAATAGAATAATTTTAATATTTTTCAATGAATTATCAATATTATTATTTTGTTCAAAATAATAATTCACTTTGGAAGGAAAATATGCAAAAGATTAAATTCATTTGAAATACGTTAGTTAGATTTCTGCTGTCTTCTTTTAGCTGGACGGGAAGAGAAAAGTGTAAACTAAATTTTATTATTGTCAGTGAGTTTTTACTAAACCATGAAATGATAACAAAATATAACTACTACTACTACTACTACTACTACTACTACTACTACTACTAGTAGTAGTAAGGATTCAGATCAAATCATGAATGGTTTAGTGAGTATGGAAGGAAGAATGTAAGGTTTGTTAAATAAATTTTTTGCATTCACTGATTCAGTACTACTCTATGAAAAGCTTATTGATGAACTTTTTCATTGATTAGACCAATGCCAACCAGATGTCTTTCATTATTTGAAGTACTGCCATATTTCTATTCATGAAAAAGCAAGCATACTGATTTGATAATAAATTATTAACTGTGAGCTATGCTATTTATTGTCTACCAGTTTATAGCTATGATAAAGTGTACGAGAAATCGGTTGAAGATATGGTGATGTGAACCATTTATTTCGGTTTGTATAGAATAGTAGATACAATGGGACTAGCAGTAGAATTCAGGACAAGCTTTTCATTCTCTTCCCGACTGATCTTAGCCTTCACTAACTAAATGTGAATAATATACATTCCTACAAATGGCAAGAATATAGTCAAGTGAGTATAAATAATTTCTATTTAATTAAACATTGTTAGTGTACACATTTCTAATCAAAACTCATTGACATAATTTTACCTTTTTCATGCATACCATCAGTTCTAAGATGGTCTAATCATATATTTGGAAAATATATCTACAATTAAAATAACCTATTTATCTGATGAAGTGGTCTTTTGAGAATAAACATGTCAGCGTTGATAGAATTCATCCGTTTCAGTTAAGACTTTTAACAACATTACACTACATTACAAAACAATATTATTAATCGTTGGTTATAACAACATAATGAATACAAACCCAATACAGTATGCGATTGGTGATTAACATTCCAGTCCATAGTTAGTTAGATGTTTCACTTGTAGAAATAGTCATATTTAAAAATTCATTTATTACGCTTCAATTGTTACGGGCATCTATCATAGAATTATGCAATTTGCTTACAATTTACGGATAATAATTATTAAACTGTATTAGCTTTCACTGAGTAATGATAAAGCTCCATGGAATCTTCTGCAATGCATCACATTGATGTACACTAACAATAAATTTTCAAGTGCTATTCGACAAATAAATCAAATGGTAATTCAGCATTTACACTAGTTGGATTTGATAGTGAAACCTATAAACTGACGTGATTAGTTTTTCAGCTATAGAATGCGAGTGTAAATATTCCTCATTGATCATCCATAATGTTACTAATCAGACAAAAAAATGATACCAAATAGATGATGTTTGATCCAAAAAACTATACTGTTGACTACTAAACAGTGACCAATGACATCTATTTCAATTACTGCTTAGTGAGGATCGAATTCTGTAATATGATTGTTAGTCCAAGAGACTCGAAATTACATGAACTAGATAAATATTCCTCAGTCATACAAGTCATTCACTGAAGACGAATATGAAATCTAATTCCATGGTTTCTTGCTGTTTTCATAATGTACATAATGTAAAAGAATATAGAACAGTTATTTGAACTATGAATCGTATAAGACGTATATTTGACCTTCAGTCGAATGAGTCATAGTACTCATAGTACTTCGAAACACTTGCTGCTATTCGAACAGACGTACATCAAACCCAGATTAGATGGTGACATCGTGACTTAGAAAAGGTACCTCTTAATTTGAACGAAACCGCGCGGACAGAAGAGTCTCATAGATCTCTCTTCAACACTATAGATCACCTGAGAATATATTCATCGAAGCATGGAGCTTTCAAGAACAACTGAACTACAAAATCGTACATGCAGTGCTGTTCATAGATTCACAGGTGCACTCACTCTCACCCTTCCTCTTCCTTCTAGTGGTTAAGTAGACTATTGAAACCTCGACAACTCAGCAGAAGCATGGATATACAGTTGACAGTTTGGATGAAGCTAGACGATTTGGTCTTTGCAGGTGAACTATCTCTTCTATCCGATACACAACAACAAATGCAAATGAAGAAAGACAGTGAGCTACAACCCGTAGCTGCAGTAGGTCTCAACACACATAAACGGAAAAGTAAGATCTGTAAGTACAAATCAGAGAGCACTAACCAAATCACACTTCATAGACAAGCTCTGGTAGATGTGGGTGGAACTGGTCACGTATCTGGGTAGTAGCATCAATGATATACAACGAGGGTATGATGCAGATACAAAGACACGGATTAGTGAGGCAAAGGCAGCATTTCTACAACGGAATTCCATCTGCAACTCAAAACAACTGTCAACCAACACCAAAGTCAGAATTTCCTATTCGAACGTAAAAACTGTTCTATTCTATGGTGCGGAAACTTGAGGAACTACCAAAACCCATCATACAGAACATACAAGTATTTATCAACAGTTTTCGGATTCGTTGACCAAACACCGTCAGCAACAACCTACTGTGGGAGAAAATAAGCCAACTTCCAGATGACGATAAAAAGAAACTTATCTATCCTGAACTTCAATACACAAAAACAAACCGTAAAAACGAAAACACCCTATACTTTTCTCGAGCCACTTCAACTGCCGCCTAGGTTCGGAACTCCCCAAAAGTCAACTGAGTATCACAGGGAGGAACATCACTGATCAAGTTGAGACCTTGCTAAACGGTTTAGATCTAGTTCACATTTGTATAAAAACAAATTCCAAAAGAAACACCTGGACCAATGACGGCACTCCCACAAGCCCTATGATTGACTTGATATTAACTGAACCAGAATTCTGCATCCAAATATGTGATATGTGTACCAGCCAATCCCTCGAACCCAAATCGTATTACTATGTGGTCCCATCATTTCTGAAGTTTAGATCTGCGAAATACAAATGCCAACGCAAATACGGGTAAAGGATGACGAGAAACATGCCTAGAAAACAAATATACGTACCAACCGGAATCGATATATAACTAAAATGGAAACAACAATAAGTAAAGATAATGAACTCCAACACTCAGATAAAGCTGTAGTACAAGCGGCATACGAAGCAGTCTCTATTCAGCGAAATCCATCGCTAAACACCTTATAAAACTAACAGATAAACCAAAAGGATATCTAGAAGGAAGTAGCTCCTACTTTGCGATGAAACGAGTACGATACAAAGTAAAGAGGATCCAGTGCTCTTAAACTTTGCCTTCAAGAAATCTTAAAATCTCCGATGGATCAAGTGATAGCTGAACTGTAAGTCACAGATTGCAACCAAAAAAGCAAAAATCTACAGGAACAGCTGTTGTGCTCCGGCAGTTGTGCCATGCTTTCATATATGCCTCTTCACTAGAAGGGTCTACTGGCTACACCATGTTCGGCTGGAACGGGTAAATAGACTCAATAAAATCTTGCAAACATTTATGTCATGTCCACAAATATTCTACGGCAAAAGTTCAGAAGACTGGTAACAATTGGTTACACAGCGAATAAATGCTGATAATAAGTTGGAAAAAAATAAGTGAAACTCAACTAGTTAAAATAAATCTACTAATCTAGAATACAGTCGAAATGAAAAACACAAAAAGATATAATTAGTTGAAAAAGAATCAGTTAAAGAAATTTTTTATGATGCAATCATGTTTGTCACTGAGAAAAAGAAAGATTATCAATAATTTCTTTCCTAAAACACAAATCAGGTTTCTGAAGCCTAATAACGATGGTTTCAGCAAACTTTGGAAGACTGGAGCTTCACAGCTAACGAGAAACAAACTGGATAAAATGGATCATTGCTGTTCTATTTAAATATTTGTTCTTGGTCTCTTTACGATAATAAAAGAAACTATATTTTTTTAAAAATATTTAATGTTTTGAGAGCTATCTCCATGTAACATTTCGCTTTTCAGAAATATGCAATTCCATAACGAATGATATACTATTTTTAGTGGAACAAATTGTCATCAGGTCAATTCGTGATCGCATTGTAACGGTTATACCATAAAATGTCTCTCTTTTAAGTTTCTCACAACAATGGAATTATTGTATAGAAACCATAAAATGCATTCATGCACACACTTGTTAAAGATGAAGCACAAAATCTGTCTCAATATAAAAATAATTTTCAAACAGAAGTTCAACACGTTAAATGCCTTTCATAATGTAGAAATGGTCCAAAACGTTTGTATTTCTTCAAAGCAAGAAATCTCCAGATAAACATCGTTGCAATATAATTGATTATAAAACTGTTTATTTTTAATAGTCACATGAAAAATAATATATATATATATATATATATATATATATATATATATATCGCTAAGATCTCGGCACTGTGAATAAACATATTATGTTGAATTCAGTGATTATTACTATTTTCCTTTAACATAAATCATTCTCGTCAAATTCAAATTATTTCAATAGTGAAAAATCAATGCGCATTGATACAAAATTCTAAATAAGTTGTATATATATTCTGATTATTACCTAAATTCATGATATAATGTTAGCCTTTTTACTTAAACACAATGAACTTCCGAATGGGTAGGTAGGTGGAATTTCAAAGCTTTTTAATTTCAATGTGCTCATGTTTTAAAAGTTACTGATTAGATTTAATTTTGTTCCCTGACAAATTGAACAATATTTATCACAGTAATTATATAGGAGTTTTTTTTAAATGGCAGTTATAACTAATCAGTACAATGGACAAGTGTTAAACATTTTATTATATTAAATATGTATGTGTATCTACATAGATATAGAAATGCTAATTTGTATAATTGTTTCTAATATTGAAAATACCACATATTCTATGCAAAAATCAT